AACACTCACACACACACAACAACAACAACAACAAAAAAAGATTCATTGGAGCTGGAGACAACTCTTTTCTGTTTTGCCTCTCTACCTTTTATTAGTTATCAACAGATGCTGATATACTCTCTCTCTCTCTCGATGGTTCAGAGGAAATAAAGTATCTCCTTGGATATAAAATAATTGAGAAAAAAAGTACGCAAATAAAAGAAAGAAAAATGAAAGGGAGATGTCTTTTTTTTTCCCCTCAATGTATATCAAACCAAGTGGTCTATATATTTTTAAAAAGACTTAACAGTTTGTACCAGAACAATTCTGTCAAGATTACATACTGAATCGGTTAATTAGTGAACTAAACCGTTAAGTTGTGTGGTCATGGGCTGAATGGTGCAATACTGCAATCCACTTTGGTGTTAAAACATAAATTGTCACCTTCTTTTAGGACAACTTCTATGGGGAATTTTGTTGTTTACTGGTATTCTGGAGTAGCTGTTTGTGCTATTGGTTCATTCGTTGTCACTTACATTAAAATTTTCTTTTTCTTGTAGACTGTGCATCAATTCTTCAGCTTGAACATCCCGATGGACATCATACATTTGCAGTCTCTAGTTTATGTAATTTTTAAAAGTTTGGAACTCTATTTGCTGAACATGATCAATCAGTTAGGTACAAATGCACTACTCATCAATATATTCTAGCATCTGTATGATTGATTTTTATTCTCTTTGAGGATTTGAAGATAGTATTCATTTCTTCTTTAATTTGTTTTAGAAAATAAAAGCATAAGTTATCTACAGTGCTTCTTAGCAAACTTCTTCTTTCTTTGGGGGGGGGGGGGTATCTATATAAATGAGGGTGTGATCAGACCTGAACCACTAGTTAAATAAATGGGATGTATCCCAAAAACTGTCCAGCCACACTCAGATTAGAAGAAGAAGAAGAAGAAGAAATCTACATACTGCATACTAACTTATACTGTGGGCAGTGTGGGAAGAGATGAAGGGTGATGTGGAGAAATCTACTTAAGCTCTTAAGTATTTAGAAATCTACTGCTATGGGTCAAATAATTGGTGCTTGTCCCCTCATGTCTGTAGCCTTTTCTTGTCCTTTTAGTGCTCTAATTTGGGATTGGTTCTCCTTTCTCTTTGATTGTAGGTGGACTCCTCCCACAAGCGTAGTGGAATTATTTGACCCTAGCTTATTCCGACAACTAAAGAAGAAAGGAAGGGTGATGTGGAGAACAACGAGGACAGCTATCTTGTGGGCAGTGTGGGAAGAGAGAAATAATAGGATTTTCCAAGGGAAAGAAAAATCAGCTCCTGAAGTTATTGAAGGGATCACCATCAAGGCAGTACATTGGCTGAAAACTCTTGACTTGTTCAAAGATGTCTCCATTAGATGAGTTGACTAGAGGCTGGAGTATTTTAGCAAGGTCTTTTACTTCATCACCTACCATACAAGCAGTTTGGTCCCCTCCTTTGCAGTGTAATGTCAAACTGAACTTTGATGGCAGCTCTCTTGGGAACCCTGGACCTTTTGGAATAGGGGGTGTGTTTAGAGATGCAGAAGGAAAAATCCTAACTATGTATTCTGGTCCAATAGGTTTGGAGGACTCGCTTAGAGCTGAAGTGTTGGCTCTCCTCCAGGGGCTCAGATGGGCCAAGTAATTGGGCATTCAACAGTTAGAAGTGGAGGGAGATTCAAAATTAGTAGTAGGTTGGCTGCAATCAAATAATTTGGGAACGTGGTCCCTTAGACAACCTATAAGGGAATTATTGAGCCTCACAAGGGAGCTGGGTGCACAAGTTTATTGGTCTAGGAGGTCAGAAAATGCTTTAGCTGACAACCTAGCAAAACAAGGGGTGAATCGGGAGGTTTTGTTTTGGGCAGTGTTGTAAGTTATTTTTTGTTCAGGGGTCACCTTTCACTTTAGAAGGTGACAGTTGTTCTTCTGGTTTTATCTAATGAAAGTTACCGTTTCCTATCAAAAAAAAAAAAAAACTGTCCAAGGCTACCAATCATTCAAAAGCTTCAACTCTAGGAGGAACTGGATTTCCCCATACTGCTTCCACCTAACCTGAATCCAGCTGATCTTTGACTAACCAGGTAAAAAGACTTCGCNACTTTAGAAGGTGACAGTTGTTCTTCTGGTTTTATCTAATGAAAGTTACCGTTTCCTATCAAAAAAAAAAAAAAAAAAAGAGTTACATAGTAATCCCTTAAGCGCCAGATTTAGCTAAACTGTCAGCTTCAGAGTTTAGCTCCCTCGAACTCAGCCCATGTGAGCATTCAAGGAGGAGAGGATGTCTCTCGCTTCAGCCAAGTAGAGAGCTAAGACCCAAGGCCCACTGTCAGGGTTAGTGAGCCAATTAGTGGTGTTGGCTGATTCTCCTTTAATGGTAAGATTTAATAAACCCAGGTCTCTTGCAGTCCTGATACCGGTTTAATGCTGCCATGATTTCAGCCTTTGTTGAGGAAACTATCTCAATTGGCCTACTAAAATCCCAACTGATAGTACCATCTCTTCTTCGAATTACGCCTCCAATAGCTGCTGCACCTGGGTTTCCGAAAGCACTCCCATCAAAGTACAAAGTTGTCTTCCCTTCCTCGGAAAATCTGAAACTGCGGGAAGTGTTGAGGTGTATGTGATTCGAGTGAAGAAAATTTATGGCATTTCTTTGGAGGTCAGCAAATGTGACACCTCTGAAATAATTTGAGTTGGAAGTCCACAGGAAGCATCTGTAACAGATTAGACAAATAAGCTCCTCACAGTTTTTTGTTCTGTTGGTAAACACCCAATTATTTCTCTTTTCCCAAATGCTCCAAAATATAGCATGTGCAGCAGATTGCCATAAAGTTTTCCCTCCTTTGCTTAAACCTCTTCCTGCCCATTGTCCTAAGCATTCAACCACATGTTCTGGAAAACCCAACTGTATTCTAATAATGTTAGGAAAACGTTTCAAAATTTTCTAGTTTCCTCACAGTGAAGCGGGATGTGGTTGGCAGATTCCCCGGCTTTAAGACGGAAACAACAGACATGAGGGGATAGATAAGACCTTCCATGGTTCTTTTTCTGAAGGAGATCATAAGTGTTGATTTTCTTTAAGCTGGCCTGCCACACACACACAAAAAAAAAAAAAAAAAGACCTTGGAAGGGATATGGGCACACCAAATTCTCTTGTAGGGGTACCGTATTGATCAGTGGTTTGTTCTTCCCTAACAAA